GACCGATAAGAGCATGCGAATTCGACAGTATCAATCCAATATGCCACGCAGGAGTTGGAATGTCGATTTTAATATCATGTTGCGCGGTAATCCTCGTCTTAATTTTTATGGGACTATTAAAAGGAATTCTCGGATTAATGTTTTTTCCAAAACTCGGAATGTGCGGAATGAATCTTTTGGTCGATCTTCCACGACCCATGAAAAAATATCAAGAACCAGAATTAGCAGGACAACCAGTTATTTACGACGTGGCCGGGTGGCCAATTCATCCACAAACCGGGAAACGATCCGTTCGCCCTTTATCGAAAAACACCGAATTTTGTATGAACGTAATCTTCTTTTTAACGTATCCTTTTATAATAATCGTTACGATGTGCTCGGTTGTTTGTTTTAAAAATTATGACGAAGAAGGTACCGATCATAATGTTTATGATAACGTGAATACGGTCGTTTTTACTGAGTGCCAAGCGTTTCATCAGGAAAATTCGCCAAAATGTAAAGCGTTTTGTCACCAGGATGTTTATGAAGATGGGGATTCAACGGAAGAACGGGATACTAAATATGTTATGGAACAAATGGGGAAAAGTTCTGATAAACTTAATGGATAAAAAAATATTTTTATTATTATACTTATTTATTATTAATATATTTATTTAATTCAATGAAATTGAGTTATCATCTCTTTTATTTAACTCCTCTATGTATTAGAGTAACCATAAAGTCTTATTCTCACATTCTTGTCATGTCGTAATAGTTCTGCATGATGATATTAAACAGAGGAACAAGTTATCAGATGTAATATACCTTAGTAAAGGATTAAGACATAATTCCTTCAAGGTTATGCCAGGGAATGTCCATATTCCGATTAATAACACTCATTTTGTGTTCATTAAGCTATTAAAGCATAGGATGACATGGAATTTATGTTGTAAAGACTCAGAGCATGCAAATTGGGGATTGAGGAAAAAGTCAAATTCGAAATTATCATAGAAATTCGTCAAGAAGAACAATTTAAATACTTGGGCACCAAGATTGGTATTGATCAGACGGAAATGAAAAACAAGTTCAATAAAGCCAAAAAAGTGGTGGGAGCACTTAATTCTATTTGGTGGGATAAAAACATAAAAACATAAATCGGAATAATAAGAAGAGAGTATATTAAGGTTCGGACGAATTGCTGACGCAATGAGGACGGATTATTTGCGTAGAAATTGCAAAAACTGTCATATACAGGGTTGAAAAGAAAGGTTTGGTCTTGGTGTGAAAGATATGGAGTTATGGCAGTGAAAAAAGAGAATGTATGATTAAAGTAGACTGCATATAATTTATAAAAAACGTTAACGAAAGACTTTACAACAATACCAAACAAAAAATAAACCTTGAGATATATAAACGATCCACAAGCCAAAAAAAATACTATTAAAATAGCTATGATGATCTACAGTGTGTTAATTAAGTATCGTACCCGATGTCATCATTGCAAGTATGCAACCAATATCACAGTGCAGTACGCAACATACGCAAATCGCGTATTGCAATAAAAATACTGTGATATTGGTTGCATACTTGCAATGATTTCGTCAGGTACGATAATTAATTAACACATTGTACTTAGATAATCAACCGTATTCGCTGGTAGATAATAAAGGTTTTTCTCGCTTATTGTCTACTATTGTTCCACAGTATACACTTCCTTCTCGGAACTGTATGAAAAATATAATATTTGATATTTATGACTTATTACTTTATTACAGACTCAAATTGTAAAAAAAAATGTCTAAAATGGAATATATAGCGTTAACTTCTGATATTTGTATATGTTCTAAAAACAATAATAGTTTCTTAAGTATTACAGAACACTGTATAACAAATGAATGGGAGAGGAAAAACTCTTCCTGAGTTGCAAGACGTACCAACCAGGTGGAATTCTACATGCTAGATCGACTGCTCGAACTAAAAAGATGTTTAATTATATATTTATCAGAAAATAATACCACACTTAAAAAAAAGGAAGGTTACTTTAAACCCCTCGGTCGATCTTGGCAAGACATTTATATAAAAAGTCGATTTTGATCAAAAATTGATGCTCTAAATCGATTAAACATCAAAATTGTTGATTTTCGAAAATGAACTCAATTATAACTAAAAAACTAAAAGCGATGGGGAAATATTTTTTATACATAAAACCTTAGTAATGGGCCATACGGATTAAATCCATAACAAGATTGAACCCAATTATTACCATTTTTTATTTATAAGCTCTAAATCGATTAAACATCAAAACTGTTGATTTTCGAAAATTAACTCAATCATAACTCAAAAACTAAAAGTGATGGGGAAATACTTTTTATACATAAAACCTTAGTAATGGGTCATAAAGACTAAATCCATAACAAAATTGAACCCAATTATTACCATTTTTTATTTATAAGCTCTAAATCGATTAAACATCAAAATTGTTGATTTTCGAAAATTAACTCAATCATAACTCAAAAACTAAAAGCGATGGGGAAATACTTTTTATACATAAAACCTTAGTAATGGGCCATAAAGACTAAATCCATAACAAAATTGAACCCAATTATTACCTTTTTTTATTTATAAGCTCTAACTCGATTAAACATCAAAATTGTTGATTTTCGAAAATTAACTCAATTATAACTCAAAAACTAAAAGTGATGGGGAAATACTTTTTATACATAAAACCTTAGTAATTGATCATAAACACTAGATTCATAAAAAGATTGAACCCAATTATTACCATTTTTTATTTATAAGCTCTAAATCGATTAGACATCAAAATTGTTGATTTTCGAAAATTAACTGAATCATAACCCAAAAACTAAAAGCAATGGGGAAATACTTTTTATACATAGAATCTTAGTAATGGGCCATAAAGACTAAATCCATAACAATATTGAACCCAATTATTACCATTTTTTATTTATAAGCTCTAACTCGATTAAACATCAAAATTGTTGATTTTCGAAAATTAACTCAATCATAACTCAAAAACTAAAAGCGATGGGGAAATACTTTTTATACATAAAACCTTAGTAATGGGCCATAAAGACTAAATCCATAACAAGATTGAACCCAATTATTACCATTTTTTATTTATAAGCTCTAACTCGATTAAACATCAAAATTGTTGATTTTCGAAAATTAACTCAATCATAACTCAAAAACTAAAAGCGATAGGGAAATACTTTTTATACATAAAACCTTAGTAATGGGCGATAAAGACTAGATGCAGAGATACGATTTTGTGAGCTTGTGTGGAATTCCTCTCACAACGTAATAGTGCAGAAATATGCCATGATCCACAGTATCGAAAGCTCGGCTTAGGTCACAACAAATCATTTTTGATTTTTCAAATTTATCGTGTGCTTCAATTACATCATTTATAATTTTCATAACAGCCGTTGTAGTTGATCTTGCCACTCTATAGCCATGCTGTGATTCGGTTAATATATTGTTCTTATGTAAGTAACTAGTAAGACACTTCTTAATCAGTTGCTCTAAAATTTTTGAGAACACTGGTGATAAAGCTATCGGCCGATAACTATGATTAGGCCGATTAACTTGTAAATTCTTAAAAACTGAGTAGATTTGTATCAGTATGGCACCGATGTAATGCCTCAGCCGCAAGCGACCTCGGCTTAATTAACTCATAAATTATTCAAAATTGAGTAAATTTGTGTCAATATGGTACCAATGTAGCACCTCGGCTACAAGCGACCTCGGCTTATTAACTCAAAAATCATTAAGATCTGAATAAATTTACAACTGTATGGTACCGATGTAATGCCTCCGCTTAATTAACACGTAAATTCTTAAAAGTTCAGTAGATTTCTACCGATCTAATGCCTCGGCCGCAAGCGACCTCGGCTTATTACGTCAAAAATTCTTAAAATCTGAGTAAATTTGCACTAGTATGGTACCGATGTAATGCCTCGGCTGCAAGCGACCTTGGCTTAATTAACTCGTAAATTATTCAAAATTGAGTAGATTTGTATCAATATGGTACCGATGTAGCGCCTCGGCCGCAAGCGACCTCGGCTTAATTAAACTACATGGCGTTATAAACCATTCAGTTTTTGTATCAACATAGCACTAATGAAGCACCTCGGCTTAATTAAATCGAAAAATAGTAAATTACTCTGTTTTGGTATCATTATGGTACCGATGTAGCGCCTCGGCTTAGTAAACTAACCCTCAATAACCTGGATAAACAAAAACATATATTTTTATAACGCATAAATCCATTAAATTTACTTGAAGTCGAATTTCTATTAAAATCCTTTTTGTATATAACACAAATACACAAAAATAACACATTACCAATTTAATCCAATCATTTTTTTTTAATTTCTTTTAAATTAGCATTTATGTTTGCAATTTTAATTTATCAAACCACATCAATTAAGAATTAATAAAATGAATAAGAATTTGTTTGGATTTTAACATAAAAAAGAAACAATTTTTATTCTTAAAGAGTTCAACGACGATAATGACCCCGATTTTTTTTGCCTCATCGATTATGTTGCAAAAAAGCCTTGAAGCATCGAAAACGCAACGATTCAATGTCAAGAAGTAATTTTTTTTTGTGGCAACTTTCAAAATTTCACCAAAAAATTATATGTTTCGATTCGAATTAGTTTAACTTTTTCTTAACGTCGTCCTAAATGTTAGAAACGGAACTTGTTATAAACACTCTCAAGAGAAAGTATGTTGATGATTTTATAAAAAAAAAAAGACAAAAAGAGAAAGGTTTCAAATTTTTTTATCATTTTTATCAATTAAATTTCAAATTAATTGCATTCCTTTGTCATTTATATTAATTTTTTAAGTAATAAAATGCAAAAAGACTTTCTTTTTATACAAGGAAGTAAATAGCTTAGGTATTTTCAAACAGGTTCTTGTTTAGTACCGTTTTATTTCGAGAGGAAGTATCGGAGAAATTACTTTCATCGCAAGAAGAAAGTTAGTTTACTCACCTGGTCGACACAACAAGTTCCATTATCATCACATCCAGCTTTGGAGAGTTCATGGCGTGCAATTATTGTTACAGTCATCTTATCTATAAAGAAATATTAAAATTACAAAAATTAACTTTCACTTTGTAATAAAAAAAAAGTACTTTTTGAACTCAACTCGTACGAATCAGAACGAGTATAAAATAAACCAAAGAAACGACTTCCTAATAAATCCTATTGTGCTTTGAGGCTCGTTTCTTTTCTAAGATAAGTTAAAAGTGTTTAGATTCAATAACACCCAACACTAAATTGAACTGACCTATTCAAAAAAGCACCGCTATATCCTTTTTATAACATAACTGTTTTTAAATTCAACACACTACAATTTTCTTTTATTTCCTTTACATTTTCGTTTCTACAAGAAGAAACATCGAGGACACTTCATGTAATCCAACAAAGTACACAAAAACCAGGTTGTTATATAATTTTTAATTCCTTACCTAACGTTTGTTTAATAAAAAACTTTCGAAAATCCTCGTCGCTTATTTTTTGTACAGATTTGTTTAAACTTTCTAGAACACGCACGAACGTTTAACAATCTTAAACGATTTTAAAGAGAATTGAGGGCTTCATGCTGCTTTTACCAACGTTCAAAACAGACTGATTCCAAACGAGAACTTCGGTTACAAAATCGCTGATGATTTTACTTTTAACGTCGAGCGTGGAGGGGATTAATAACATAAACAACCTAAAAAAAATAACAATAATTAAATAGGTACAGCAGAGTAGAGTACAAGGTGTTTTTTAAATTATTGAAATAGGAATGTTTAATTTTTATTCTAAAAAAAGGTTAGAGAATTGTATAATAAAAAAAATAAAGTGGTGTAAAACAACCTTCTATACTATAAAACTAAACAATAATAACAAACTAATAATAAAACACTTAATTATTTTTTAAAAAAGTCGGGGTCCTTTTCTGGTTAATTTGTTATTAAAGTAAGAATTTTTAAAATGTCTATATATTCAATAAAATAAAATTTAAAAGAGTTTCAGCACTTGCTATACTCTATTTTTTTTTTAATTCGGAGGAGTGTTTTTAAATTGAAGCGCCAAAAAAACGGGTTGCTATTGGTCAGTTTTAAGCAAAAATTACACTAGCAAAATTTGAGATGTTGCCAACCTCAATTTTGACATATTTGTAATCGTCGTGAAAAATCCTTTAAAATGAGCCCAAACATGATACGTTTAATTCCAATATTATTCGAGATATAAGCAACTTCCGGTTTGAAATGTCAATGTCATTTTGACATATTCTTAATTTTTATAAAATGTCTTAATATTTGCCACAAAAACAAAAATATAATAAAATAAATCAAAAATTAAGGTTGGTATTAATATTTAAAAATTAAATTGCTATCTTCATTGTTGCTAACTTCGGGTTTAATGTTTTTTTGTTCTAACTTTTTTGTTTTTTGACATAAGTGCGTCATGTTTGGACTCATTTTAAAGGTTATTTTATACAAATTACAAATATAATAATAAAATTAAAGTTGACATTAACACCTAAAAGTTTTTTCTTAGCCGCGCGTCGAAATTCTTTCAAAAAACATCAAAATTATTTTTAGGCGCACGGCTAAACACGAATATTTCTAGGTCTAGTGTTAGTTCTAGTTTTTGTGCAATAAAAATATACAACATAGTAGTATCTTAACAGTTCTAGGTCTTGTGTTAGTTCTAGTGATAGTGCTAGTGTAAAACCAGAACCAACACTAGACCTAGAACTAAAAACATACAAGGTTAATGTTTTTTATTTTTTTTGTTTTTTGAGATAAATACATTATGTTTGGACACATTTTAAAGGTTTTTTTAATAAAGAATACATCATGAAAGAATACCATAAAGTTGTCCATCTGTCTATTATATGATAACCATGGTATGCAATCTTACTACTATAAAAATATAGACCGAGATTTAGTACCCTCACAATCCACTGGATGACGCTGTAAACTGAATTTGCAGCAATCTGCATTATCTACACAAACAAAGCGTTTGTAACATTAGAAAAATTTATGTATAACGTCAAACTCAGAGGTGAAAGCAAACGTCACATTTTTGTTTTGTCGTTTAGTGTGATAATTGGTGATAACCCCGTTGTATAAGCAAATTTTCTTCCTTACGTTCTTTTGGCTTAGTGTTTTATATCCTTTAGTTAAGTATTTAAATAAGTTAGGGCCACTTTTACCACCTCTTGATAAGTTATCCAATAGATAAATTGGCGCTTTTTGCCAATGAGAGCAATATACGTTAAGAATTATGAATATTATCTTGGAAAAACTTTAAATTCATATTTTTTCTTATTTATTTGGAAAATGCACTTGACCTCTTCAAAATAAAGTAATGGTATAAATCGGTATAGAAATACCTATATTTAAATTTTGCGCTTTAACCTAATTAGTTCCCTCACAATCCCCTTGGGAGCGCTTGTACTGAAAAATAGTGGGGAGATGATCCATAAAAATTTTTCTATGATGATAACTAACTTCAGATTTAAAATGTCAACCTCAATTTTGACATATTTGTAATCTTCATTAAAAATCCGTTAAAATGAGTACAAACACGACATGTTTATCTTCAATATTAATGAAGTTGTGGTCAACTTCCGGTTAAGAATGTCAACGTTAATTTTGACATATTTGTAATCGCCGTGAAAAATACTTTAAAATAAGTCCAAACATGATACGTTTAATTCCAATATTACTCGAGATATAAGCAAGTTCCGGTTTGAAATGTCATTGTCATTTTGACATATTTTTAATTTTTATAAAATGTCTTAATATTTGTCACAAAAACAAAAATATAATAAAATAAATCAAAAATTAAGGTTGGTATTAATATTTAAAAATTAAATTGCTATCTTCATTGTTGCTAACTTCGCGTTTAATGTTTTTTATTCTAACTTTTTTGTTTTTTAAGATAAGTGCGTCATTTTTGGACTCATTTTAAAGCTTTTTTAATGAAGATGACAAATAAGTCAAAATTGACGTTGACGTTTCAAGCCGGAAGTGATTGTATCTCCATTAATATCAAAGTTAAATATGTCGAGTTTGGACTCATTTTAAAGGATTTTTTATGAAGTTGACAAATATGTCAAAATTAATAGTTGAATGTTCGAACTTTTTGGTTTTTTGAGAGAAATGCATCATGTTTGGACTCACTTTAAAGGTTATTTTATGAAGATTACGAATATAATAATAAAAAGAAGTTGACTATCTACCACTGCCACTAGAACTAACACTAGACCGAGAACTAGAAACATTCGAATTTAGCCGCAAGTCTCTCAAGACGGTTAAATCAGAATGATTCTAGTTCTAGGTCTTGTGTTAGTTCTAGTTTTAGTGCAATAAACATATGTAACATAGTAATATGTTATGCTAACTAGCGCTATAATCCTATATGGCTCCGGTTCCTAACCAATTTCCTTATATCTGCTAGAGTCTTCCCTCTCTTCTTCCCAACTTCTTTTCTCACACTTCTTCCTAGGTCTTCCCCTCTTTCTCTTATCCTTATTCTTTGTTTCAAAAAAGGTATTTGTTTTCCATTCTAATTATGTGGGCGTACCAGTTTAGTTGCTTTCTCTCTATTTTGCTGATTATCTCATCTTGACCCACTCCCAGTCTTATTTCCTCACTACTTATCGTATCCCGCTTCGTCTTTTCCGTAAAAACTTCCTTATTTTCCTGTTTATCTTGGAGTGTCTATGACTCACTGGCATGTATTAATATTGGAATTGCCATCGAGTTGTACACTTTAAATTTTATTTTTTTATCTAGCTCCCTTTTCCCAAAAATTGTTCTGGTTAGAGTATGATATACGTTGTTTGTTTTCTTTGATCTTGCATTTATGTCTAAATCTATCCTTCCATCTTGTAATATTATATTGCCCAAGTACTTATATGCTGATACTTCTTCTATTTTTTGTTCCAATATATATTTCTTTCGGGTTATGTATTTTTATGTCAATTCAGTATTTTATTGTCCTTCAATTCTAGGCCCACCTTTTCAATTTCTTCTGTCCATATTTCAAAATCAACTTTTTTGCCTTTTTATGGTTTTCTGGTATCAGCATTATATCGTCAGCATAGAGTAAATTATCTATTTTTACTAGTTCCAAACTTTTATTGCCTATTACTGTTTGATATTTATTTGTTCTTGTTTTTGTATTTTTTATTCACTTTTTTGTCCATTAATAATGCTCATTTCAAAAGCTTTTGATGTTTTTCCCTTCATTTGTACTATACGATTTACCTTCTTGTACAGGTTTTCTATTATTCTTGTTAGTTTTTGTAGCACCATTAATTGTTCTAGCAATTTCCATACAATACTATGGTTAACCGTGCCAAAAGCTACCTTTAGGTCCAAGAATATTAGGTATAATTCATTGCCCTATGTCTCTATTTTTCTTTCAATGATATTTCAGATTATATGTATGTTATCATTCGTTTGTTTGCTTGCTCTGTATGCTGCTTGTTCATGCTCCAGGAGATATAGCTAAATCAGTTCCTAACTCCAGATATCTCATGTATGCTGATGACCTTAAAATTTTTTCTCCAATTAGTAATCTCTCGAATTGCATTACCATTCAAACCGACCTAAACAGATTTTATGATTACTTTTTGATCAACACGTTGATGAAGTTCTGGCTAGAACTAATAGGATGCTGGAATTCGTTTAGTTCGTCCGAGTCTTTTAATAACGCTTTGCCTATGTCTTTGTAAATGGTATTTTATGTTTGGGATCCTCACTATGATATTTATGTTAATAGAATAGAGACAGTTCAGATTAGGTATCTGAAATACCTTTCCTATCGATTCCGTCATCCTTATACAGATTATTTATTTGCCTGCCAAATCTATCATCTGTCCACGCGTTAGCAGTGTAGATATTGTAGTGATGGTCACTTCCTGTTCAGGTTGGTTATTGCGACTCCCGATATGTTCTCTCAAAAATTGAATTACATGTTCCTGCTCGTCGGTTATGATATGACTTCTTATTTTGCGCACCAACAGTTTGACCCAGGATGGAAAGAGCAGTAGATCGTCTTAGGTTGGACATTTCACACTTGCCCTCACGCCTAACAATTTTAGACGTGTTATTCGAAGCGCCATACTCAGTTTTGTATCCAGATAGGATTAATTTTGTTTTTGCACATACCGTCGTGACTTGTCTCAATGTACACTTTAACTATCGCTAACATACTCTGCATTCTTTGTATTACACATATAATTAATTAATCACAGCATGGCAGGAAATCAACTTAGTTTGAAACATAGGAAGTTTGTCCTGAAATGTTATTTTAAAACTGAAGACGCCATTGAAGTGCAAAGACGATTTGCAAAACCGCCACCAACGCGACACCTCATTGCTCGCATCAGAGACAAATTTGAAGCAGATGGAACCACCCAGAACGTCAATAAGAAACGTTCTGGATGATCACGGACATCCACGAGCTTTGGAAAAGAAGAACAGATGCAGGAAACACTCCATCATTCACGTCTCAAAAGATAACGTCCATCGCATCATGGAAATGCTACATTCCAACAGTAAGCTATGCACTCAACGAAGACGATCTTCACAGAAGAGCTCAATTCTGTGAATGAGGCAGGGTTTCCACACAAAATTGTAACACTAGAACATCATGTAAACTTACCAGGAGTAACCAGTAAGCCATTGGGCATCATAGAACGATGAGATTTACTTTTAGCAAGCTTTTCCAGACACATGGATTGGACGAAGGGCATATCCTGCGCGTTCCCCAGACCTCACACCCATAGACTTCTTTTTGTGCGGATATCTCCAAGACAAAGTTTATCGCACCAAACCAAGAACAATCCATGCATTGAAAGAAAATGTCACGATATTTCCAATGAATTGATTGCGAACATGATTCTGTAATAATTACATTTATCTTCTATATTCAAAGCATGGAATGGCTTCACTCTACGTTCATAAATAATGTTTTTCTCGTCATTCGAAGTGTGAGTACATTTTTTTGATACATCCTGTAAATAAATAAATATAAATCACAATCCGAACTTCGGTTAAATGGTTCACTTTACTGTACTAACCTCAAAAATATGAATTGTCAAATTTTAAGTTAAAATTAAATTTTTTAATTAGCTAACTTCACGGTGATAAATGAAATTTCGTGCTAAAATTATTATTTTAATTAATAAATCGCGTTTAAATGAATTAATGTGGATAAATAATGAAATTTATTTAATAAATAAATAATAATAACTTTTTTTTACGTAAATAAATTAATTTCTCAATCAAGATATTGTATCTGTAGAAACGTCAAACAAATTGATTACGATTACGTCAAAAAACTAAAAACTTCGATGAGTTTAAAATAAACGAAAAAATTTATTTTAAAATAATTAATTTGGGTAAAAATTGAATAAAAAATTAAAAAATAATCGCGTAAATAACGCGATCTATGCGATGTCCATTGAAACGTTATTAAAAATAGTGGCGCGCCCTGTCGCGTAGTGGCGTAATAGTCGGTCGGTAGTGAAGGAAACGTTTTTGTGGGTAGAGAGGTGTCCGGCACGGAAGTGATCAGTCAAATAATTCTAGAACAGTTTGTCCGCGTTTTGGGGCCGTTCTGGGGCGCGAAGACACGTTCTAGGGCTTGAAAAATCGTGGTCGCGTTTAACCGCAGACTACCATTCGAGTTAACTCATTTGCCGACCAATCTGTTTTGTAGTACTTCTTTTGAACAACGTTGTGTTCGCTGGTGTTCTCCGAGGAGGCCATCTTTGCGATCCCCTATCAAAGGTCCTTCGCTCGTGCGGCGTTTCATTGTCCTGTCCTCCTTGTGTCCCCATTTTTTCGACTACCATACAAGTTTTGGCCGCAAACTCACGATTAAATGGCTTTAAAGCGAATTAATAAGGTGAGTTCAAATCGGATCGATTCACGAAAGGGTGAGGATAATAAGATAAAATTAATTAGAAAAAAGAATTTTTTTTTTGCGGATTGATAAACGTCACCAAATTATTAATTTTGGGTTGAACGCCCTTTTCGTAGAAGGATTTTTCCTTGGACGAGATGACACACACACGATACTTCTCAAGGATAACCCTCGACGAGTTTTTTTCACGACGTGTCATAGCATTTTTTTCCCCGATTTATACCGTTATCGCGTGTCTACGGAGAAAAGAATATCCGGTAGTCATTTTAACAACGTAATCGAACAATTTTTTTTTTTTTAATTCACTCTTCGCCCCCCTCGTGTATTTTTAAACTCAATCAACCACGTTTCTAACCTAAACCCCGCTTGGAATTCTATTATTAACCTTTACCTTACATTCTTTTCTTTACTCCTAAATTTATTTTTATTTTTAACCTTTCTATTTAATAATTTTTTTGCTTTTTTTTTTGGTTAGGAATTACAAGATCTCGGTAGAGATCCTCCAGCACAGTGTTCGGCAGGTCCGGTTGGAGATGATCGTAAGTTTATAACAACACATTTTTTTACTTATTAATATCTATATTACTTTTTAAATAGTTTTTCATTGGCAAGCCACAATAATGGGACCTGTAAGTATAAAATTAATTTCAAAAAATCTCCAATTTTCATCAATCCTTCTCTAACTTCTTTTTCAGCCTGACAGTCCGTACCAAGGAGGTGTGTTTTTCTTAACCATACACTTTCCGACAGATTACCCATTCAAACCACCAAAAGTGGCGTTTACAACTAGAATTTACCATCCAAATATAAACAGTAATGGTAGCATTTGTCTTGATATTTTACGGTCTCAGTGGTCTCCTGCTCTTACAATTTCAAAAGGTGAGAAATTACAATTTATTTCTTTATTTATTTTATATAACTTTTCTTAATTTCTTATTTGATTACATTATTTATCATTTTTTTAGATACATTTATTGTAATAAGCTATTATTGAGAGTAACATAACCTCAAATGTCAAATTTTTTACACATTTTCTTTTAATTTATACAAATTTAAGAAGAAATAACACAATTCTTATTATCTCCTTTATAATTAAAGTCATAATTGACAAATAATTAATAATTTAATAGATTTATCTTATAATAATAAATAATTTGACACAAGAAATAACCTCAAATGTCAAATTTACCATTTGAAATTTTTTGTATACTTTAATTTATAAAAATTGAAGCAAAAAATAACAATCTCTATAATCTCCTTTATAATTAAAGTCATAATTGATAAATAATTTAATAGATTTATCTTGTAGTAAACAATTTAACAGGCAAAATACCATAACCTCAAATGTCAAATTTAGAATTTTATTTTTTTGCATATTTTCTTCTAATTTGTAAAAATTTAAGAACAAATAACACAATCTGTATAATCTCCTTTATGATTAAAGTCATAATTGATGAATAATTAATAATTTAATACATTTATCTTGTAGTAAACAATTTGACACAAGAAATAACCTAACCTCTAATGTCAAATTTAGAATTTGAAACTTTTTGTATACTTTAATTTATAAAAATGGAAGCAAAAAATAACAATCTCTATAATCTCCTTTATAATTAAAATCATAATTGATAAATAATTAATAATTTAATAGATTTATCTTGTAGTAAACAATTTAACACATGAAATAACCCAACCTCAAATGTCAAATTTAGAATTTGATTTTTTTTGAATATTTTCTTTTAATTTGTAAAAATTTAAGAACAAATAACACAATCTGTATAATCTCCTTCATGATTAAAGTCATAATTGATGAATAATTAATAATTTAATAGATTTATCTTGTAGTAATCAATTTGACACAAGAAATAACCTAACCTCAAATGTCAAATTTAGAATTTGAAACTTGTTGTATACTTTAATTTATAAAAATTGAAGCAAAAAATAACAAACTCTATAATTTCCTTTATAATTAAAGTCATAATTGATAAATAATTAATAATTTAATAGATTTATCTTGTAGTAAACAATTTAACACATGAAATAACCAAATGTCAAATTTAGAATTTGATTTTTTTGCATATTTTCTTCTAATTTGTAAAAATTTAAGAACAAATACACAATCTGTATAATCTCCTTTATAATTAACGTCATAATTGATAAATAATTTAATAAATTTATCTTGTAGTAAACAATTTAACACGGAAAATAATATAACCTTAAATGTCAAATTTAGGATTTGAAATTTTTGGTATACTTTCCTTTAATTTATACAAATTTAAGAAAAAAATAATACAATTCTTATAATCTCCTTTATGATTAAAGTCATAATTGATAAATAATTTAATAGATTTATCTTATAATAATAAATAATTTGACACAAGAAATAATCTAACATCAAATGTCAAATTTAGAATTTGAAACTTTTTGTATATTTTCTTTTACTTTTAAAAAATGGTGTAATCTCATCTATAATTAAAGTCATAATTGATAAATAAGTAATTAATAATTTAATAGATTTATCTTACAGTAAACAATTTGACACAAGAAATAACCTAACATCAAATGTCAAATTTAGAATTTGAAATTTTTTGTATACTTTCCTTTAATTTATACAAATTTAAGAAAAAATAACACAATCCTTATAATTTCTTTTATGATTAAAGTCATAATTGATAAATAATTAATAATTTAATAGATTTATCTTGTAGTAAACAATTTGACACAAGAAATAACCAAACCACAAATGTCAAATTAAGAATTTAAAACATTTTGTGTATTTTCTTTTAATTTGTAAAAATTTTAGAAAATTTCATAAAATCTCATAAAATTTCATAAAATAACACAATCCTTATAATTTCTTTTATGATTAAAGTCATAATTGATAAATAATTAATAATTTAATAGATTTATCTTGTAGTAAACAATTTGACACAAGAAATAACCAAACCACAAATGTCAAATTAAGAATTTAAAACATTTTGTGTATTTTCTTTTAATTTGTAAAAATTTTAGAAAATTTCATAAAATCTCATAAAATTTCATAAAATAACACAATCCTTATAATTTCTTTTATGATTAAAGTCATAATTGATAAATAATTAATAATTTAATAGATTTATCTTGTAGTAAACAATTTGACACAAGAAATAACCAAACCACAAATGTCAAATTAAGAATTTAAAACATTTTGTGTATTTTCTTTTAATTTGTAAAAATTTTAGAAAATTTCATAAAATCTCATAAAATTTCATAAAATAACACAATCCTTATAATTTCTTTTATGATTAAAGTCATAATTGATAAATAATTAATAATTTAATAGATTTATCTTGTAGTAAACAATTTGACACAAGAAATAACCAAACCACAAATGTCAAATTAAGAATTTAAAACATTTTGTGTATTTTCTTTTAATTTGTNTCTGTATAATCTCCTTTATAATTAAAGTCATAATTGATAAATAATTAATAATTTAATAGATTTATCTTGTAGTAAACAATTTGACACAGGAAATAACCTAACCTCAACTGTCAAATTTGAAATTTTTTTGTATACTTTCTTTTAATTAGTAACAAAAACTAAGTTTTAAGAAAATTTAACACAATCTATATAATCTCCTTTATAATTAAAGTCATAATTGATAAATAATTAATAATTTAATAGATTTACAGTCAGCCCTAAAAGTTATAATAGATATTCCAAGGGTTTTTGCATGATTTCTTAAATAAGATCATAAATAAGTTTTTTTTTGTTCTCAATAGTTATAATTATTCATTTTAGACAGATTTATAAGAAAAGGAACTCAAGAAAATAGTGAAATAAATTAATAATTCTTCAACATTGTTCCATTGCAACCTCACAAAAGTAATCATACAGTTCCAAATGTTACACTGCTTCATAGCTAGTGCTTCATACACTTTTATACTCTATTTTTTACTACTAAAATTCGAGAAAATTATTAGGTTAGAAATTCAAAATTCTGAAAGTTCATGTTTTTATTTCTTAGGTTGGTAACAATCAATGATAAGGACAAATTTTGATGGATTATAATTTATGGGTTGATTATTAATGTTTTTTATCTAAACCATTTCACTCCACCACTTTCAGTCTTTAATTTATTATCTATAATAGTGTTAAAATCGCGAAACTCTGAAAATTCTTCAGTTTTAGTTCCCTAGGTTGGTAATAACTAATGACTGGAACAAATCTCTTATGGATTATAATTTTTAGGTTTATTATAAATGCTTTTAGTCTAAATTATTTCACTCCATCGTTTTTAGCCCGTAACTTATTACCTATAATAATGTTAGAAATGCAAAATTTTGATAATTCGTCAGTTTTTGTTTCTTAGGTTGGTTACAATTAATGATAAGGACAAATCGTTTATGGATTTTAATTTATGAGTTGATTATTAATGTTTTTTATCAAAATCATTTTACTCCATCACTTTCAGTCATTAATTTATTATCTTATTTGTTAGGAAATGCTAACACCGTCTTGACACAGAACAATTTTTTAAGAATAGCTTTACCTACCAAATTTATAAACTATTTAAGGAGTTGATTGTAAAAGTGTGCTCTTCAGTGGGGCGGTTTAAAAGGGAAATAAAAATAATACTAATGCAGGGTCCAGAGAGTTTGTAGTAATGGAGTGGGAGCGGTGAGGTATAGTTTGTGTTTTTCTTGTTTGTTTTGCGGTATTTGATTATTAACTTTAATATTTGCTTGAATTAGGTGGTGTACTCTCGTGTTATTCTTTGATTGTATGTCTAATGGGTTAGTGGAAGAACAGTGTCAGTCGAACTAATCCATATTGAGCGCGCTGTTTTCTTTTTCTTTTTTATATATTTGTTTTTATATATTCTTTATATCTTTTATTATTATTTTCTACATTATTTCTTTTTAGTTTAATCGTTATATATTTTATTTTTAAATTCTTTGTATTAGTGCGCTCAATAAATATTATTATTATTATCTATAATAGTGTTAAAATCTCGAAACTCTGAAAATTCTTCAGTTTTAGTTCCTAGGTTGATAATAACTAATGATAGGGACAAATCTCTTATGGATTATAGTTTTTAGGTTTATTATGAATGAAATAACATATGTTAGGGTTGTAAGATCTTACTTTTAGCAGAATGCTTGCTGAACTGGAGTCATCTGTCACACGGTTTCTAAGCGAGCCTTTAATGTTATTAATCTCTGAAATGTTAAAATAGAATGAGCCAGCTTCTTCAAACAATTAAATATGTCTGGTAACGCATTCCATGTTTCCAGAATTTTGTTATTAGCATTTTCACTTATATTACTTGTCAATCTTTCTGTTTTAATAAACTTTTGAATCCATATTAAACTAGACTGGAAATCAATCAGCTGCATTTCAAATTCTTCAATTTCCAACCAATCGAATTGGGACAAATTCAGTTTATCAAATGACGTCACATCAGGGTACACAATAAACTTGATTATTTCCGATAATTCTATGAACTGAGAAAATCTCGCTGAAAATTCCCTGATTGAAGAATCAATCGCAGAAATAAATTGGTCTTCGTCTGGTTTTTCATGTATTTCCAAATCGTTGATATATTTTTTCAAATTTGGAAAATACTTGTAGTTTCTTGTGATAATATCGTTCCTGAAAACTTGCATCAAAAGCTCGAATGAGATCTATCATGACTATTATTTAAATGTTGGCATATGTCTGCAAAAAATATCAATTTTGAAAACCACATTCCCTCATTTTGCAGAAACAGTCTGATTTCTTCCAAGCAATCAACAAATCTTTGAAGTACGTTCCTGCGACTCATCCAGCAAACATTGTACATCAGTAAGCCATTGTACACCGAGTTGACTTCATCTAACAAAGCATCGAACTTTCGC